CTTCATTGCAGTGGTGGGATTCAAATAATTTAACAACCAGTTCTCTGTCCTAATGACCATTTAAAGTATAAAAATATGATATACCAAAAGGTAGTTTATTATTTGAATAGAATAGAGCTGGAAGGGAACTTGGAGGTCTTCTAGTCCAGCCCCCTGCTCAAGCAGGAGAATCTATACCACTTCAGACAAGTGACTGTCTAGTCTCTTCTTAAAAACCTCCAGTGATGGAGTACCCATGATTTCTGAAGGCAAGCTGTTCCACTGGTTAATTGTCCAAATGAATTTGATACTTAAATAAGAAAATAAAAGAGGTACACAAAACTAGATTGTTACTGTGTTTGCCCAAAAATAAGACACACACACACACACACACACACACACCAAAAGACCATTAGATCTTATTTTTGGGAGATGTCTTACATTACAGCAGGTGGCAAGCGCGCGGGCAGGGCAGGGCCTGAACATGCAGCAGCAGCCCAAGGCCAAAGTGCCGGTGGAGCGCCGGAAGGTCGGGAAGGATGCTGAAGCAAATTGGTGTCCTACCTTCAGTGCCCACGTCAGTTGCCCCTTCCCTGCCAGAGCTGGAATGCCTCCCTGTTTACCATAAGTACGGGTAGATGTCAGCCTTCCCTCTGGAGGGCCTGGGCAGCTGTTAGAGAGCAACAGACCTGTTTCAGTGCCTGGCGCCCTTAAGGATGTTTGCCCTTTCACTCTCCTTCTGAGCCAGACTGCTGGAGCTCTTGGCCACCTGGTCCTTTTTGCAGGTCTGCCCACACAGTCATTGAATAGGCACCTGCTTTCCTGCTCTGTTGCATTTCTCTGTTGCCACTGCGCAGATGTCTTTTCTTCCCAAAGTGTTTCTTTTTTAAAAAAATATATTTTATTAATTTTTTACAACAACATTCTTTAGTGCTTAGTAAACAGCGTGTTGTCTGGGTCCATATGTTTAAAAAACAATCAATAATAATTAATTTCTATAGTTCCATAATCAATATGTTAATGACATATTTATTTGATCTTCTCTTTATCTAATAGTATTCTTCTTTTGTCAACATTTACCAAATATCATTCTTAAAATTCAATATATATAAAGTTAAATATAAACCTTTTTATTTTATTTATACAAATAACAGTAACATTAGCATATAGCATCTTTTTTATCAGTTTATATTTCAATTGTATTTATAGTAATCATCTTATTAAATCAATATATGTCCTGTTTTCAAATTTCTTATTTAACCTTAGTTTCCTTTCTATATTCAAACCATTCTTATCAGTCATAGTTTTTTCAAAGTTAGTGACCTTTCAATATTCAACCTTTTCATTCATATAATATATTTTATATATTATAAAAATTACTATACTACTTATATGTCTTATCTCTCTTCCTAAGAGACCCCTTTATATCCATAATTTATCTATTCTTTTAACCATATTCAAACAGGTAGATCGCATCAAATCTCTCAGATCTGATTCTAGCCTTCTTCTTTTGCCAATTAGTTTTCCAAGTTAATGTGTTCAACTTGTCCAGAGTTTTTTCCTGTATTTTTGTAAATGCTGGTTGGGAATAGAAAAAACAAATTAGATAACATATGTTTTTTGTCTCCCAAACTTTAATGATTGTCCTGGTTGTTCTATAGTCCATTTTGTTAGATTTTCTTTCCAATTTTCAAGTTGATTTTGAGGTCCTGAAATATAAGATATCTTTTCCATTTCCATTGTTATGGTAAAACCTTGCAAGTTTTCTTTTGTTTATATTAATTTGTAGTTCTCTTCATCTGTAATTTCCCTTTTTGGGTCACTGACCTCTGATTTGTATTCTGTTATCTGGTCTGTTTGTTCATTATCATCATTTTCTGAGAATTTTTTACTTGTAAGTTTAAGTTGGAAATGTGCTCATTTATGCCATCAAAGTTGTTTTTAATCTCATCATGATTTGGAATCATTGTCATTTGAAACTGTTGCAGCATTGCATATATTTCCTCTTGGAAGGTATTTGCCTTGTTTTGAAGTGTTGCTCCTGCAGATTTCTGATGTTCCAGACAGGGAAATTCAGAAGAGCATATTAGATATATATTTCTGCCATGTTCTGATAGGTGTGCAGCATCCATTTTATCTCCCCCTTCCAGATGTTCTTTCACTGGTACCATAATTTCTGTGTTTAGCCTTTTAAACCAGCCAGTCTTAAAATTTTCCAACTTTTAAAACAAAGAATTGTTTTTTTAATAATTTCATCAAAACTCTTTCAGATGTAAAATCTTAATGGTTTTCTTAATTTTCAGATTTATCCAGACTATAATGTTATAATGTTATAATTTTATTTCAGTATATTTCTTTCCCCCGTGAAGTTTTCCACCCGTCTATGGAAGGGTGGGGGATGTAATCCCCTCCCTTCTCACTTTCAGAGGATTTCTTGCTTTGGGGATCTTTTCCAGGGAATCAAATAGAAAAGAGAAGATTGATATTCTCACCCAGTTCCAAGCACGCTGTTCACCGTTGTTCTGGTTCATGCTCTTGGACTTTGGCTGCTGGTAGCTTGGGCTAGATACTGATGTGCAGCTAGCCTTTCTCCTGTCGGGTTGGAGGGCTTCCCTCAAATTGAATGGATCGACCACTGTCATTCTGTGATCATTGGGGTGCCCCTCCTTCTTCATTGCCTCTCCATTTAGGATCCCCTGGCAGGGTAAAACCAGCCATGGACTGCGGAGCTCAGCAATCCCTTGGCTGCATTGTTATGGGGCGGAACTGTTAGTCCTTCCCAAAGCATTTCTGTGCTAACCTTGTTTCCAGCTCTGACACGTTCCTCCATCGCATTCCTCCGCCACTGTGTGCAGTCCCACAGACAAAAGAAATTTGTGGGACTAAAAAAAAAGTTCAATCAATTCCAACTTTGGGAGATCTCCTTTTTTTCCATGAGAAGTTGGAATTGATTGATTGAACTTTTTTTTAGTCCCACAAACAAAAGAATTTTGTGGGACTGCATATGGCAGTGAGGAACACTATGGAGAAACGCATCAGAGCTGGAAAGAAGGTTAGCATAGAAATGCTTTGGGAAGGGAGGGCATATGGGTGGTGGTAGGTGGGGCAAGCTCTCCAGCTCCGTGGCAGCAGAGAAATGCGATGGAGCTAGAAAGCAGGCACTTTCCAGTTCTGGTGCTCTAACTGCCATTTTGGTGGCTGAGCTGCGAAGAGGGTTCAGAAGGGGACTGAAAGGGAAGAGGGTGGGTGGACATGTGAGGGGGGATCTGTCCCATACCGCCCCACTTGTTCTGCGGCTGCTTTCAATCAAGCCACATCTTGCCCACCAAAACTGCTGCCAAGATACTCCCCCGATGCGTTCCTCCATCATGTTCCTCTGCCGCCGTGTGCAGTCCCACAAATGAAATTTGCCAAAGTGGATCCCAGGCTGCAATATGCGCTGCAATGGAGAGACAGGAAGTGGAGCAGCTGGGATGAGGGAAGGAGTGGGGAGAAGAAAGAAGAAAAGCAGCTGAGTGAAAAGTGGGGCTGTCCCAGCCGGCCAGGCACCGAAGCGCCACCAAAAACAGCAGAGTCTGTATGTGCGCCTTCTACACACTTGCCCCATGTCAGCCATGTTTTCCATGCCTTAGATCAACTGTAGCGCACCATGGAGAGCATGACTAACACGGGGCGAGCATGTGGCAGGCAGGCACACAGATTCCACTGTTTTTGGCAGTGCTTCTCACTTGGCTGCTTTTCCTCTTTCTTCTTCCTGCTCCTCCTTCCCTCACACTGGCTGCTCCACTTCCCGTCTCTCCACTGCAGCACACATTGCAGCCCAGGCTCCACTTTGGCAGTGGCAGGGTTTCGGGGATGGTGAATCCCCATTCGTGGCATGTCCACCAACTGATCACCATGCTGCCTCTCAGGTGAGCACTGAAAAAAGCAGAGTATCACAGGTTCTGACTAATGAAGCACTTCAAAGAACTTTCAGGCATGTTTCCTAAAGTCTTTATTACATAGCTATCTGCCCTATGCTGACCCCACGTCCACTATACTCTCCACGATGCACTGCAGCTGATCCAAGGAGGCCGGCCAGGCACTGAAGCACTGCCGAAAACACCTGCTCACCCATCAGCCATGCTCTCCATGCCTCATATCAGTTGTAGCATGCCAAGGACAGCATTGCTGATGCTGGCAAGGCAGGTGCACACACAGACTCTGCTGTTTTTGACGGTGCTTCGATGCCTGGCTGGGCGCCTTGGGTCAGCTGCAGCGCACTGTGTAGAGCAGGCTGGATGCGGGGCAAGTGTGAGACAGGTGTGCACACAGACTCCGCTTCTTTCAAGTGCCATTTTAACAATCAGTTCACCAAACTCAACAGAAAGTAGGTATCGTTTCTGCTGAACTGATGTGAACTGGCTGAATCCTACCACTGCTTCATTGCTAGAAAAGCAATATTGAGAAAGCAATATGGGGAGGGCAACAAAAGAGAAGGGGGAGAGATAGAGAAAGGGAGTTCATGCGGAAAGGTAGCCTATCCCAATCTAGGGAAGTCAAATAAACCAAAGGGAAGACAGAATCCATTACAAGGAGACAATGCAGGGCATATGAGTAAAATATGACGAAGCTGCCAAATAAAGGGACCTTTCTTAATTATTCCCCCACAAATGTAATTAGTGATTCAGAATAAAATAACTGAGACTCTTGTACTAATTTATTGAATATGGGGAGCAGATAGGCTTTAGTCTGAGAGGTCCAGAATTTAAATGGTAACTACTAAAAGGGACAGATTTTTCCTTCTTATTCATAATTAACATACCCCGAGGACCCATCTTCTAAAGGTAGGAGTAACCACCTGGGCACAAGCCTGAAAATGGGCAGATTATAGTGCCAAAGCTATAATTTTGTTTCTAAGTGATAGTAAACAACTTATAATATAATCTGTAGAATCTGCAATACGTAATAATCCATTCTCTTCCCAGCATTTTCATTCTGATTGATTGTCATAGGATCTATTTTTAACAGAAAAAACTCACCTTTGATTGAATTCAAACTGGTTTCTAAAAATTCTTCGTTCAGGTCTATCAGCATCCCCTCAGATTTGCATCGTGAGAGGCAACTGGCATTAGCAGCACGAATCCTCTGGGCTGCCATCTTAAGATATGTGCTGTTTCTTAAGAATCAGAAAATCTAATGGGTCATCTTCTCTAGAAGAGATGTGACAAACTCTGTGCCATTTATTTTCAGTGGTTCAATTACCAATTCACTCAATATTTTCTTCCACAATATATACCTGAAGAGAAAAAAAGACCATGATGTGATAATTTAAAATAAGCATCTTTGTATGACTAAATTGCAGAAATCTTATTTATTTGACTTATATGGCTGCCCATCTTAAAAGATATAACTCTGGGAGGTCACAGCAGGAAACCAAAGAACAATAAAACCAAAAAGGTAGCACTTTTCTGATGCAACCAACATAATCAACTTCAGGTTTCAGACTCATCCTACCCCAGTGCTTGGGGGAAGAGTCAGTTCTTTATGGTTTTCCAGAAGGCTAAGTGGGTGGCAACTTGCCAGATGTCTTGGGGAAGGGTGTTTCACAGGGCAAGGGCTACTACAGAAAAGATCCATTTCCTGTGAAATATAAAGTATTGCTTTCTGAGCTGTAGCTAAGCAGAATTTGTCCTGTAGCTAGGGGAACTTTAGATTTTGCTCTGTAACTAGGGAATGTTTGTTAATAGGTACTCTGGATAGGTTGTGAGCTTGTTAGTATCCAACCAATGGAAAACCAGAACAATGTTGAGCAGTGGGGGAGGGAGGAGTATAAAAGCCTTTTGCAAGTTTTAATCTGGGTCTACCTCAGATGCACCAGTGTTTGCAAATATGTAATAAATGTTTTGCTATTTTTTGGTACTAGATTGCCTTTTATTGCTTTATTGCTTATCTATTTCTAACATTCCTAAATAGCTACATTTAAAGAAAAGGACCTATAATGTGCCCACTCCATCTGATCTGATGGAACAGGTAGATACCTTCAGGGAGATGCAACAAATAATCTGGCCCAGTATCATGTATGGATTTTAAAAATAATAACCAGTACTTTGAATTATACCTGACAAAAAACTGGGAGCCAATGCAGATTAAATATGAGAGGCATAATATAGGCAAATGAGGGGTACCAAATACTGCAGGTGCCGCTGCATTCTAGACCAGCTGTAACTTCTGAGTGATCTTCAAGGGCAGCTCCATCTAAAGCTCATGGCAGTAATCTAGCCAGTGAGTGGTCAATGGGAACAAAACTGGGTGCAATTGGCATAAAAGCTAAATCTGTGCAAAGTTCCCTCCCCTTAGCCAAAGCTACCACTTGCTCCTGAAGGATGAGCAATTAATCCAGGAGTCCCCCACTCATTTGCACACTTGCTCTGATTAGTGAGTAGCACATTTGCCACTCCAATCAAATATCAAAGATAACACATCAGCAGACCTAGCTGTGAGGATGTGGGGCTGAGGGCATAAATTCAAGGCTGCTCAATCTTCTAGGATTGAGTTAGTTCTTCTCCATCCACATCCTCATAGCCTTCAGGTATTGGGTCAGCACTGCAAAAGATGCTGTGTTCCAACAGTATTCAACACTGTTGGGTCCAAGGGTGGCCTCCTGTAGTTAAGAGGTATTAACTACAACTTGAACTCAACAACCACATGCTACCTCCTGGAAGCCCTTGACCAACCAGGCAGGGCATGTTTTTCATTATAAACTAGCAAATCTATGAATTATGGGAAATTAATTTAATTACCAAACAAGATTTTTCCATCTTAAAAACTATCACATGACAAGCCCAGAACACATTTCCTTCATTAAAAAAACCCTTTCATGTAATGAACTCACAGCAGTTATAGAAATTTGGGGTAGATATGCTATCATGCAAATTTGATGTTTGGATGTCTTGTTCAGTTTTTGATCACATAAGATCTAGACTGAAGTTGCTATTCAGAAATTCCTATCTCTTAAGTGATTTTGAACTGGTCAGATCAGTAGTTTAGCTTATCCCACTGTAAGGTTATTTCAAGTGTCCTCCGGCATAAAGAAATCTGAGACTCTATATGATCCAATCAAAAAACTCAGACAGAGGCTTCCATAAACAAAACTGAGTAAGCAGCTGGGTGTATTTCCTCCACACGGAGGCAGCAGCGTGAAAAAGGAAAGCCAGACCCCTTGTTTTCACAAAACTTTCTTTTATAATGTTATTTTAACCAATCAACTTTCAACACAACACTTATGTCACTTTCTCTTATCTCTCTGTAGGTGCTCTTCTTGCCTTGGGCTAATGGAGGTTTCTGTGCAAGTGTAGTATACAAAAGCAAAACAGCATTGCTTTGATTTCTCTAAATTCCCTTAATTTCTCCCTTTTAGTTTGTAAAACAGAATGCTTTCTGTTCCTTAAATTGTGGATGTTGCAATTCATTGAATAAGGGGAATCAAACATGGCAACAACAGTAAACCTCCCAAAACTAGTGCAATCAAAAATAAGACTCTTTTCCAATCCCCAAATATTCCTGAAAACCATCCAGTGTCCACAATTCTAGACCAAGTTTGAACTGGAACAGGAGCTATCTTTCTCATACATTCTGTAATCTCTTCAATTTCCTGCGTCATCTATCTAGAGGCAACAATTAGTGAGGTGAAATTTTCCACACACTCCTCCTTTTGAAAGTAAATAATCTAAGGCTAAGTGGTTATTGCAGTGCGAAGCTGAGTATTTGTTTTAGCCAACAAATTTATGTAAGGGAGGTTTCATTAGTGATAATTTCTAAAACAGCTTGAAGTCTAATCATTCTAATAAGCATCCCGCCCTTGTTTCTAAATAAGGGATTAATTGCGAGGATCAAACATATTGAGGCACCTAGTAGATCCGAACCATAAATCAGGGCCATTTTTAGCTCTATCGAAGAAGGTTTGGGGGAAAAAAAAGTAACAACAGAATAGAAAAACTCCAACAACAATTAAGCTTGCAACAATGGTCACTTCAAGAAGAGGCCAATTCATGTTCCACAGGTTGAAACAAGTTGGTGGGTGAGGGCTGCTTCCCAGTGAGCCTCACCTTAAGTTGAGCTTGCCAATAATCACTTGGAGGTTCCATCTTTTTAATCCTAGATCCATGGATCCACGCCTTGACGCCTTCAACTTTAATTGCAGTTGGAGTTCCAAGCAATACCTGGCATGGCCGGGGCCACTTTGGATTAACAAATGATGATGAGAGTTCTTTTACTCATATCCACTCTCCAGGCACAATCCACTATCCATCCTCCCACCTTCCTTCAGGAAGCAAAATTTCTCTTTGCTCATAAAGGGGAGGCAGTTCATAGACTGGTTCTGTGGGAATGAGTGACATCATGTTCTTTTGATGTGCAGATATGATGATAGCATGTTGGCTCAATAGTCAGCTGAAAGATTTCCTCAGGTAATATAGCCAGCATAAGATTTATGGCCCCTTCAATGGACTATAGCTAATTCTTTTGGCTTTTGAACTACTATAACCAATTCTTCAAGAGGCTTCATTTTTAAAGTCTTTCCATCTACTCCTGAGTAGCCTCGAGCCTTCCAAAGAACAGCGTGTGTGTATGCAGCAAGAAAGCATAATGGCTGTCAGTATAAATTGTGGCCTGTTGCAAGGTGACAGGCTTCTATGAGGGCCATCAACTCAGCTGCCTGTGCTGACAAGTGAGCTGGGACTTGTTGCATATAAATTGGACCTTCATCCATGACTACAGCCAATCCTGTGTATCACTTGCCATTTTTCATGAAGGAAGAACCATCTGTCCAGAGTTTCCATTCAGAGTTCTCCAAGGGTGTCAGAACCCATTCCATTTTTATCCATTTCTTTCTGTGGTTCTGCCATTCTCCTGAGGGGGAGGGGGAAGGCTCTCAGGCTTACTCTTTGAACTGTCTCTCTCTTGATGTCAACCTGGGGTGAGAAAGGAACGTGCCTCCAGCCATCTGGCTTATTTCTTGCTGCGGAAGGGAAGGTGTGAAGACCTAACAACATCTTCACAAACATGGGAACGAACCCTGTTATTAGCTCTGTTCCCACAGTGGACTTAACACCTGGGGATTGGCTGACTGGATGAACTATTGGGGTGGGGTTTGTTTGGGACTCTTTTAACTTATTGATCTGAGCGGGAAACCATCAGATCCTTCCCTCTATGCCTGCCATCAGCTAATAAAAGTTTCTTTTGGAATGAAACAGTTCCAAGAGTCCTGCATTCTTGGGATGAGGTTTTGAAGTGGGCCCTGACATTAGGTAGGATCTGCAGTAATAGTCAACCCAGAAGGAAGACCCTTACCAGGGGACTAAGCAAATGATGTCTGATATCAGAATGGAAAGGGAAGAACCTGCCATGGGAGGGGAGTTCTCCCATCAAGCACAGCCCAGCCAATACAGTTCTCAATCCTCAAGCTTGTTGGACAAGGTGGTGGTTGTGGAATGTTGCCACAACCAAGGTGGTCGATGGGTGTCGAGAAGGAGGACTGGGAGAAGAGATCCAGGAAGGTGACGCTCAGATGCGGCAGGCACCAGCTGGGTTGGAAAGTCGAGATGGAGAGGTCGCTTCACCTTAGCGAAGACAAGGACAACTGACCGCCCCATTCTAGCCGATTCCTGGAGCAAGCCATTGCCATGTTGAGAGTCGCCTTTGATTCCATGAAGAAGGAGAAAGCCGACCCATGCCAAGGCACCGCTAACCCAGGCTCAGCCAAGGGGACAGATGAAAGGGGGCGAACCAGCAATCCCAGGCCCTTCAAGTGTTGAACTACATGAAAGAAAATGGCTATGAGATACCCAATGACCGTGGTCGGATAAGGATTGTGCAAACAGCCCTAGATGGCAATGCAGTAGAACGGGGTAGTAGATCTCCATGATGCCGATGCCCCAGAACTGCAAAACTTCAATCAGTTCATGGCAGCTCTCAGATGCTGATTTGAAGATCTCCTGACTGATCGGAAAGCACAGGAATGCATCAAAACTGTCAGGCAGGGATGATAACCCGTAGCAGAATACACACAAGAATTCCAAGCCCAGGCCAGCAAGCTGAACTGGCCAGAAGATATCTTGGTCGGGCATTTCAAAGACAGCCTGAATGATGAGCTGTATTATGCTTGCATCCCTCAGGTGGATCCGGACCAGCTCCAAGACTGGTACATTCTGGCTGAGAAAGCAGAGATCGATCACACCAGAAGACAACAATGCGAAGGGAGAGCCTGGGGAAAGTCGCTAGCGGAGCCAATCTGAGAGC